ACTGTTTTCCATTTTGTGGAAAATTGGGAGAGATGACATCATGTCCATAGATGAAAATTATTAAACTGACTCATTCATTTGTCCTCGTTCTCAGGAACTCTAGGAATTATAGTTTTGTGTGGGAAACATCCACACACCTTTCTAACAGAGTATTCTAAAGAAGCCCTTATTCTGGACACAACCAGACAGTTTTCTTGGCCACACTATGAAAGTAGTTCGTCATTACTTTCTTTTGGGGTGTTTTTCAATTTTCCTATCTAGCCAACAACTTGAATACTCTCTGGTGGTCTCTTATGCAATGTTAACTAGATCTACCTCAGTTTAGCTTTTTCTAGATTTGCTAAGTTCAGCTAGATGTTGCTATCTGTTTCCTCATAGTAAAGGGTTGGATTTTTTTTCTCTCCTGCATACTTCCATTTTTTTTCCTGGAAGGATGACAACACTTCATGGTAAATTTTCAAAATGGAGATATGGAGGGGAGAAAAGGGAAGTCCCATTAGAAAAGCAGAGATTGACTTGTACAACAATGGCTACATAATTCTGAGTGGGAGGAGGAAAGGGGGCATTGAAGATGCAAAGTCAGTTACAAATTTATGTAAACTAACATGTAAATTCATAGCATAAACAAAGCTTGACTTCCATAAGCCACCAGCATTTGTGTGTAATGCTCCACATATCCTGCACCTTTGCATTAATTCTCATTTGAGAGGCCAAACTGAAGGCATAATTTGAAAGATGCACTACTGGAAGGTAGTATACTGTAGTATTTTCCTGTGACACCAATACCCAATTTTGGTGACTTTATTCCTTCCTGTCTCTCACCCACTCACCTCCCCAACATACTTACGGTCTTCTGCTGTGTTGAGACCTCAGAGTCTGCCTAGAAGATACTCGGCTTAATCTGAAAGACTCTCTTCTAGACAAAATTTGGCTTGGAGTTCTGGAAGAGCTAAGGTCTGTGTTAGACAAGTCAAAACTAGAATGTTTTGTTATGCTTGGTACTTGACGTCGGCTCTTGTCTCGAAGATCTCGAGCATCCTTCCCTGAACATGAATACAGAAGAGAGCATTAATTGTGTCATTACATGCATCCCCATTTGAATGTTACTGTTGAGAGAGAGAGAGAGAGAGAGAGAGAGAGAAAGAGAGAAAGACAACTATTGATGAGTCATGATAAGGCTAGAGATGAGTGTGATTGTCAGTTTTGCTCACTTTATTGACTAAAAGTTTGGTTCTACATCAGTTTATTAATTCAGCCGAAAAAAGAGAACCCCCTTCTCCATGTACATCTCTGTGAAGATATCCTCTAAAGTATGCATTTTTACGTAAATCCCTTAATAATATGTGTTTTGGTACATATTTGGAGTTGTGAGCTAAGCATGAAAAGTGTGAATTTTGTCATGAGTACATGCTCTAGTTTTTTTTTAATTAATAATTTATTTGTTTAAAACATTTAAAGAGCAGAATAAATAACTACATACAAGGAAAAAAAGAAAATGAAAAAAACATAGTGGATGAAGAATAAAATATTAGTAATAAACAAGGCATTTACAATTAACATAACATTTAAAATTCATTATTTTGTTAATTAATTAAACATATAGAACTAGATTCATTATATCATCTTAAGGAATAACTAAACATCTCTATAAAATTCTAAACATTAATATTAATATTGATAACACCACTATTTGTCATTCTTCCAAAAATAAATGCACATAATCATGTAAAGGGAAGGGAAGAGAAGGGAAGGGAAAGGAAGGGAAGGGAAGGGAAGGGAAGGGAAAGGAAGGGAAGGGAAGGGAAGGGAAGGGAAAGGAAGGGAAGGGAAGGGAAGGGAAGGGAAAGGAAGGGAAGGGAAGGGAAGGGAAGGGAAAGGAAGGGAAGGGAAGGGAAGGGAAGGGAAAGGAAGGGAAGGGAAGGGAAGGGAAGGGAAAGGAAGGGAAGGGAAGGGAAGGGAAGGGAAAGGAAGGGAAGGGAAGGGAAGGGAAGGGAAGGGAAGGGAAGGGAAGGGAAGGGAAGGGAAGGTCCTTTCCTTTTCTTTAATGCTGATGAACATCCTTGTATTTAGATCAACTGATCAGAAGGGAAAATCATATAATGAAAATCTGTGGTGGACATGGATTTTCCTCAGGGTCACTCACTATTTTCAACAATAAACTGCTGTGGAATAAGCTTATCTTTCCTGACACTGAAGACTGAAAAAGACCAAAGTCTTGCAAGTTGCAGACCTTATTTAGGATCATCAGTTCCCTTTCAAATATAAGGAGGTAATGCAATGAAAATGGAAATTAGAGCAAGTTAAGTTATAGTTAACAAAATAATCATGGTGAGAAATAGTATCTGAAGCATTTTAAGTAATGACAGTGTTTTGCTTGCTTTCTAACCTCTTGAGAAATTCATAGCAACCAAGATCAGAAGGCTGAGCCTTTTATTAATTCTCACATTACAGAAACGTCTGGCATAATAAGATGTATTCTGACATAATCAAAATTGCCCTAACTTGATATATCCTCTCAAGGGTAAAACTGTCCTAAACAAATACATCAAGCTAAGACAATTCTGGACTGAACACTTGTGATTAAACAAAGGCAGATAGTAATAATCATAAGTATACACATCAAACACATTCAGCAAAGATACCCATTACCTATTAGATCATAACGAAACCAAAAAAAAATGGTATATTGATTTGCCCATGTTCTGTGGCAAATCTGTTTACTCATCACCCTCTAGATAAACTGAATAATAATAATAATAATAATAACCTGTAGTAGTATGATATAAATGACCAGTAATTTTCTTCTCCTGGTCCCAGGGTGAATTCATAGAATTAATGGACAAGCCATTCATATTAGAAAACACGTATTCACACTGTAATTAAATTGAATTGACAAAAGTTACCTCAAAATTGAGTTGCTTTATTTCAGCTGTGTGGATGGGTGTGTGTGAAGCAGAATGCTTTTAGGAGGAGAAGGAAAGAAAATGAAGTATCATTTCATTTTTCCTAGGAAATACTGTTGTGAAATGCTTTCTGAATCAAGAAATTTAAAATGTCTGCAGTCATAAAAAGTTAGCTCAAATGCTTTCATTTTTTAAAATGTAAAAATATCTCTATATTGATTTTTCCTCAGAATGGACTCCACAGCTTCTTTTAATAATATAAAAGAAAGAACAAACACAAAAGTGGGATAAAACGAATTTACGGAGTATAATTTGAACAATGATAGCTAAATGGAATCTCCTTTAATACCGAGTAACTGCACTGTAATTTGACAACATAGTAAGGCTTACCTGTTTAATACTGCTGTTATCTATACTGTTATTTTTATTTTCTGCCATCATATCGTGTGGCTTTGCTTCTGGTTGGTTTCTTCTGAAGATGGATGAGTCCAGTAATGGCCCCTGAAGACCTGTTATTTGTAGACAGATCTGAGCATCACATGCAGTCTTGGGATTGTGAAAGTACTTACCTTTTGATAGTTGTGATGTAATTTTTTCATCTTTAATGTCAGAACTGTGTTTATTCGCCTTTCCTTTCATCCGTCGTCTTTCATAATCATCCCGCCATTCTTTGGGAGACAGTTGGTAGAGGAAATCCCTGAACACCACATACTCCTGCAAAGTGTCCTCAAACCGGGCTATCTCACTGGAGAAAAGAAACAGTCATTGCATCAAGAGCAAGTGGAGATGACCCTCAGGCACCTCCAAAGGATTCTGTTGTGGAAAATGGTGATAAGTATGGGGTGTAAAACTCCCCTCTCCAAAAGTAAACGGATAGCCATAAAACATTTAGATCTAAAGAATATTGGATAGGACATCAGGAGACAGTGATAGTGCTGGGAAGCGAAACTGCAAGGAGATAATGCCTAGAAAAAATATATGCATCAACTTTAACTTTTGTGTCAAAGAAGACAGTCCTGATCCAGCTCAACAAGCGATTGTTTTATAGTGCCTTCCTCATTACTTCACCATCACAGACTGCATACGCTACTATAACCAATCAACTAATTTACTAATTATATGCACACACAAGCACACATATTAACATAAATCAATATAACAGGGTTGCAGCCCCACTCCTCTTTAGGTTAGCCTTTGCGGCTTCCAATATTGTAATAAATAATCTGCCTTTCAATGAAAGAGTGTCTGATGCGAATTATCAAAGAACTCTTTGGAGAAATTTCTCCTGTAATATAATTTCCACTCCCCAATCCCTCCAAATGATTTTGAAGCTGGCACTCTGTCTTTCCCACTGCAGATTTCAGAATGCAGAGAATTGCTCCAGATGACCAGAAAGGGGATGCAAAAGTCATTCATGTTATGCCTGCCCCAAGCTACTGCTCAAATACATCTCAATCCATGGAAAAAGGAATAAATTGCTTCCCTGCTCTGTATTTACAGAACCTATTGAGTGTACATTGTCTCTCTACACAAACATCTGAGCAGGTGCTATAAAATGTAGCTGCAAAGCCACCAAGCCACCGTTTCTCTGCTGCATTTAAAAACCTCTTGCTAACTGTGATGGTGAAAGTGTAGCATACTGGCAATTTTGCAACCAGATGCTTTTTTGGTAGCTGCAACCATGACTTCATGTTGTCACAATGGCTGGGGTGGAAAAGGAAGAGAGATTTTAAACAATGCCTAAGGTACCAGGAACAGAATGCTGAAGGCTGCTGGGACAGGCCAACAAAAATCCTTCCAACCTTACCTCCTACAAAAGGGGGAAAAAAAAACAGCTAGCAACCCCAACAACCAGAAGACAATCACTCAAAGGAAACAGTTCCCCAAGCAACAACTTTCTTCCTTACCAAAGAAAAGGAAGAAGCAGACAAAACCTTCATGATCTGCAGAGAGCACTAGCTATCATAGCTACAGGTGGCAGATACCAGGATGTCATTCAGCAACACCTGGAGTGTTCTCCTTCCCAGAAATATGAAGGCCTTCTCCCCAGCCCCTCAAGTGGCTAATTTATAGTTTCAGACTATAAGAGCTTTATAAGGACAGCTCAGGTGAAATATTGAACTGTATTTACAGAATCAAGCTGTTTTGTTGTGATACTCAAGACCAGCACCATTTGACAAACATTTTTAAAAAGCAGATGGCAATTCAGGATCTGAAGCCCTAAGTCTGAAATTGGTTGGCAAATAATGTATAGCTTGGCCTAACTATATATTAGGGTTATATCTGTCCCAATAAATGGTTGTTTGGGACACTGATCTACCTGGGAAACCATTTGGATGTAGAGAAAGAAGTGCAAACTAGACATTGTTGCTTAGGAAGAAAGGCAAAATCTTAAAGTTTAGCCTGACTCCTGGTGACATGATGGACACATCCAAGCAACAATTTAAAAATGCAATATCCTTTCTCCAGGATGCTTTTCAACTTCCTGGTCTAGCCTGCAGCTTTGATCTTCTGTGGTAGCCTCTCATCCATGTAACTGCCAGGGCTGACCTGCTGAGTTTCTAACCCAGAGAAGGTCAGCCAGGCACTGCTGCCACTGCTGAGGCTTGCTGAGCACCACTCCTTCATTATTTGGGGAGGGGTTCAGGGAAAGAGGAAGCCCCAAAAATGTCCCTTAATTTTACTGTCCATATGCCCGAGTCCTTTGGTGGAAGATGAACAAGTAGTTTTATATTGCCTGATGTAAGGACATCTTCACACTAAGAGCATGGCATATTGATGGGTGATTATCTTTGTGGGCTGGTCATGAAAAGAATCTGGTCCTTCCAGAGCCCCATCTCCCCATCTCTTTCCTTGTGCCATTTATGGGCCCATGCAGCTACCACAATTCTGATTCCTCTGGTGCGACTCCACTGGCTCCCTTTTCTTCTGCCTTCAGACAAGTGATTCAGACAAAGCCAAATGAAATCTGTCCCAGCAGGTGGCAGCATTTAGCTGACCTTGGCAGGTAAGCAAGGTCAGATTTGGTTAGTTCTTAGATGGGAGGCTATCATTAAATCCCAGAGCAGTAGTAAAAATGCATTCTGGAAAAAACATTATGGAAAACCAGTTTCATATTCTTGCCAAGAAAACAACATTGTTATATCTAGGTAATCACCCAAAGTCAAACTCAACTCAAGGAAGTTTTTATCTTTTAAATGAAATTTTAATTGATCCCCCCCCGCCCCCGGGCCATCATTTCCAGGCAGAAAATCTGGGGGTAGAGACACCATTGGTTTAAAAATAATTCCTGAAGCAGGGCTAATTCCTTATTTCTGATACTGGGGTAGAATAGTAATAGCAACTTTTTTTTTTCATTTCAGTGCATCTCAAACAAGGTATTTCTTTACATCTTCCCAAATGTTTTATAGGCAGGGTCATTCCATTGCACTCTTGGGGGAAATAACAACGGAGATTGTTATCTTTGGAGACATCAATGTTTTTAGCAATCTATGAGAGTAAAGTTCATTGGAGAGGGAAATCAATGGAAACCTATGGAACCTTGTTACCCATAATTTAGGCATATAATTCATAAGATTAAACATTTAGCATGTTATAAAGATCTACAGAACATTTGACTGCATTGGGACATCCAGGTGAGGGAAACAGGGAGGAAGGAAAATATACCCTGGATTATATCTTCTGTAACTGCTACCTTTGGATGTTCATCATTTGTGCTGTCAGCTCTCGGATCTCAATTATTTTCTCCAGTTTTGCTTTGGTTTCTTTTTCAGCACTAAGAAAAAAAGAAATAAAGAGAGAAATTAGCTGCAGAACATGACAGGAGATAAGCGACATTAGAATTAAGACAGACCTCAAAGTTTCAGGCCACCATGGAAGCCAGAGGCAATTGCTAGAGAGACATAAACTTCTTCCTGATGTTGTTCCATTTCTCTCCTTCCCACAGTCTTGTCTTTCTTGTCTCTACTCATATATTGGTTGGAAATTTGGCTGAAGGATATGTAGAAAGTAATACTTCTCAATCTCAGGTTGGTTTGACTCACTGTACTAGATGACACAACAGTGGGTTCTTTTTTTCATGGTCAACAGTGGGGTGACCATGTAACTATCATCTACCTGTATATTTCTTTTAGACCTTATAGGTGACTCCTGTCTGGTAAACACTGTCTTTAGGGAGTATCTACAGCCTACATGCTATTCAGAGACCAGATAAGGTAGCTTTCCTAATCTGTCAACATAGATTCAATTCTAGAACTTCAGTATGAGCTTTTTTTTAATAGTTGAAAAAATGTTTCTGTTGGTCTGGGTTGGAAGAGGAAGATATGCCTGTAAAAAACCCTAACTAGCTGCAGGAAACTTACTGCCTGCTGTTAGATTACTTAGCAGTTTTGTAATCCTTTAAAAATATCAGTAGGTGGTTTTGCTTCTCTTTGTTAAATAAGAAAAAGAATAGTATAGAAATAGATAAATATACTCATGAATTATTTGGCATCTGACTCCCTGAAATGGGGTAGTAGAAAAGGTTTGACAAATAAATTCTCTATTATGAATTCAATGAAGAATTTAATTAACTCTGAATGCGTTTCTTAAAGCAGCCGTATCTTTTTTCAGAGTTGGGCAGAAGCTTGAGAAACCTTTGAGCTCTTTAAGGGATAGCTGAGAAATGCTGCACTTGGATGAGATCTAAAGCCCAGGGGTCTGCAGGAGAGGCAAGGTGAATAACTCTGAGTCATGATGCAAAACCCATGACATACATACCTGTGTTAAACATTGGGATGCACGTATGCAAGGCTGGTGTTTGTGTCATGAGATCACTGTGTGTTTTCCCTTTGACACAGGCTGAGTTTGCTGCAGGCACGTATGGTCTGAAGCACTTCTGAATCATTTTCAAAGCATGCAGAACCCTAGCAGTTATCATCTCCAATGAAACCATTAGAGGCAGAATTGCTCAAAGATATGATTTGGCTGTCCTCAATATGTTGATGACCCATAACCCTGTCCCTCTCTTTGGAGATGTAAGCTGATATGAGTGTTCTGTTGAAACTAAAAAATCAGGATGTCATTTTTGAAATAAATCATTTGTTCTCCAGCTTTTAGACAGAAGGTGAGCATCACTTAAGCCACTCCTTGAGCCCACCAAGCATCTCTGGCCACCCCTTTCAGACCAGTTAGGAAAACAATATGCCAGATATGGTCTGCAGCTGGGCAAGCTGAATTCCTTGGGAATTTTGAATGGCCAAGTCTACACACTCTGCAGAAAGAGATGATGAAAGACTAAGCATGGTTAAGTGGAAGTTGCCACTTTCAGACTACATTAAAATGGCATCTTTGAATTTTCCACACATTAATAAAACACACCTGAAAGTTAAATTGAAACAAAGTTTCCCTGGGAGTGACTGTCTTGTGCTAGAATTGCTTTGCTCCATTTTAACTTTCATTGGCAGGGGTGGACGGGGGCCAAGGGGTGAGTGTGTGTGGATTTTTATTTATTTATTTGCATGAAGCCATACAAAAAGTCTCTTTGCAGCCTCTGAATTCAACCTTTTCATTCCAATCACTCACTCTCCTAGTGAGTGCCATTGTTGCAGGAAACAAAGGAATTACAAAATCCTGATTAAAGAGGAGATGGGACTGGGAATCCCCAAACTATCTCAAGAGGACTAAGTGCTATGGGGTGAATGCAGTACAGTGACTAGACCAGTGTTTCTCAAGGTCAGCAACGTTAAGAGGTATGGACTTCAACTCCCAGAATTCCCCACCCATGCAAATGGCTGGGTGGGGAACTCCGGGAGTTGAAGTCCATACCTCTTAACGTTGCTGACACTGAGAAACACTGGACTAAACTCCTGCATAGCTGCCATCTGTCCTTGCCTTCTTCAGGCATTCCTGACCAAATGCACTGAATTCATTTACTGCTTTCATTTGTGCCCTGCAATGAAGCCAGGGCTGGAGATTTCATTTCAAGAAGAAACTTGATAGTGCAGGGTTCCTGCTTGTAGGGAAGCCAGTACAGCTCCATCTGTATGTATGAAAGTCTCATTGTTATGTAGACATTCACACAACATGCAGAAACATCAGTGAAAGAGCACCATTGCACATGAATTGCTGAAGGTGGGCTATAGGGTGTGCTTCTATCCCTGCTTCTACCCCTCGCTCCTTTTTCTAACTTCCAGAGCATCCCATATATGGATGGCAAGAGGGTCACATTTATTGAATGTGATTTTCTGTTCCCCCTCCGCTGCAAGATAATGAAGAAAACAGGTACCTGTATGTAAAATCTCCACTTACTTGTCCTATGTACCTATTCTACTTAGTGTCTGTGGCATCCCACAGCGATGACTTTATCATGATGGCATTGTCACATACATGCAGTGATGATGTAGTTGCAGACTGACATCTGACACTAATACATAAGTCACTACATTTGCATGATGATGTCATTGCACACATTTCATTGTCTGCCTGCCTGTGCATGCCCATGATTTTATTTTTGTAGAAAGTTAAATCCTACAGAAAGTAGAGGAAAAAACCCAAGGCAAATATTGCAATTCCTCCACCTCTGATGTCATGCCCTGTTACTGCCATGACCTCTGTGGCCCTGGAAGACCCCAAAAGAAAGCTATCAAGTGCCCCTTTAGTCAATATGATTGCAGAAATGCTCATAGGGAGCTACCGCAACACTTGGTGGCAGATTCTGTGTCTCCTTCTACTACAAACTGTCGCCTCCCCAGGACTTGAGATTTTTATGAATGCTACAGCATCGAACTTGCAGTTGAGTGTTACATTTTCAGGGCTTGTGCAGAGTTTCGGTCATTCTCTTTCAGGAACTCATCAAACATGGCAGCGTCCCTTTCCAGGTCTTCCTCAGCTTTTTCCAGCTTTGCTTCTTCTTCCACTGCCAGATTTTCCAGTTTCTGAATTTCATCTTTTTTCACAGTTACAGCATACTGAAATGTAAGCCAAAGGTGTTTGAGAAGGGAAGGGAGGCACAGAAACGTTTCTTTTCAGTTAATTGACTTCTAGTGCTATTACTCAAAAGCTATCCAATTATTTCTTTCTCTTTTTAACAGATATATCTATGGTAAGATGTATCTGTATCTGTATTTATATATCTACACACATACACATATACATGCACACAAACACACACATTCCTAGACATAGGAAAACATCCCATGGCTACAAATGGGACATCAGTGTCTTTCCCCACCAGAACCTATACAAGCAGAGAAGCCCATGGCATAAGTCAACAAGCATCTTCCACCAGGCAGCTCACTGAAATAATTCCTCACATTAAAAGCTACCATCAAGTTGCAATGAAGCAACTCCACTTACTGCTGCATTTGTAATCAGCCCTTCTCTTTTCAAAACATTCAGTCAGGCTGGTGCTGTTTCCTCCCATTTTATCCTCACAATAATTTGGTTGGAAGCAGCAGCCTCCCCAAGGCCCTCCAGTGAACTTGATGGCCAAATGGGATTTGACCCCAGATTTCCCTAGTTCAAATCCCATACTCCTCTCTACGACCTCAAACTGATGTACAGGCAATGCCACCAGAACTAAATTAAATACCTGTAGCAAGAACATCTGTCGTTTCTGATTGATGTAGTCATACATGGTCTCTCTCTCTACAACCTGGTCTGGGGGAAAAAGAAAGAAAAGAAAGAAGGAAGGAAGGAAAGAAGGAAAAAAGAGGCAGTTGTGCAAGCTACAACATCCAAATACAGCATGCAACAGTGAGGTGAGAGAGCAACACTTTTCGCAGGGCTTCCAAAATCTCTTTCAGTTGATTGAACTGGTTGAGAGCAGCCTACCACCAACAATTTAATCAGCTCCATGGCTTACAGATTGACTGTTCCATTACTGCAAAGGGTCCTGCTTTTCTGTGAAGCTGCTCTTCATCCCTTCTACTCAAATTTGCTCTATTTATTTCACTTAACCTCATTTTCTGAGCACTTGTAAATAAAAGTTTGATCTTTTTATTTTGGACATCTTAAATGTGCAGGTGACTAGTATGCATTATAGCAGCAGATACCATTTCTGGAGACAGCAGGAATTTGTAGAATTTGGTGCCCATAGAAACTCTTTCATATGATCTCATGGCATATGATAAGAGCCCTTTAGAAATGTTCAGCTCTGGTGAATCGCATCTACATTACAGAAGCATTTTAGAAATATTTTGGAAGCACTTAAGAAAATTGTGTTCATCTCATCCTCCAACTTATGGTCAAGATGTAAAGCAAATTTAAGCTGATCCTGTAAAAGAGAGTCCATACTTTTCCCTTTATGGTAAATTCTTTCCTGAAATTATTTGCATATATGTTTCCTTAATGACTTGTTTGAAAAATCCCAAACAGCAAATGAAAGATTATAGAAAGACTGATAAGCGTTCAGAGGCCTGCTGCTTTGGCCATTTTCCTATTCAAAATAATCCTCCCACTCCAACTGCTTTTCTCTTGAAGGCTTGGAGCAGATAACCCTGAATGTGTTTTACTTTGAAGTTATAGTGCTAACAAAAGATAGGAAGAGAATGGCTAACCTAAAGCAAGTCTGCACCCTCTCCTAGATCAGACCTTCGGGAAACCATATCTGAAATTGTAATTTCAGTCTGAATGTGGAAAGCAAGAATTTGAAGCTGGAATCTTATGCGGTGTATGTTTTGATACCAAGCATTTATCCTGCTTCATTGTATCCTAGGATCTGGTTACTTTCCTCAGCTACCTTTAGTAATTGCTATCTTCCAAGAGATGCTTTCTCGGAGAGCTTTGAGTCGTTCAGCTTCTGCTGCTAACTCGTTGTCCTCAGCTTCTTCTTCCATCTGGATCTCTTTCTTGAACCCCGACTGTTTGGCACTCTGCAAAGTGGAGCACGTCATCTTCTCATGGACCTTCAGAGTCTTCCGTCGTTCTCGCTCCTAGAGGTAAAGGAAGAACAGGTTGACCAACAGCTCCATCCAGCTATCAGAGGTCTCACAAGATGACTGCACCATCAAAAGCATATCTCCAGTGTAAAGGACTGTATAAGAAAATGCAGTTGCCCAGGAGATAAGAATGGAATTGTATTTTGTAACATTAGAACCAATTATCCACACTCTATGAGATCATTTATACATGAAATATACTTGCTGTGAAATTAGTTTTGATGCTGCTATCACACATTTGTTTAATCCAGTTCTGAGCAAGACTATGCGAGGGAAACAAAGATTAAGCTTCCCTAACCTGCTGGCCCTCCAGTTGGATTGAGTTCCAGTTACCATCATCTCCAGCTAGCATGGCCAAAGGCTATAAGACTGATTCCAATCTTATGAATCCTAGAGAAAGAAGATTCTCTCTATCCAGGCTGTCTGAACGGTCAATCCTCTGCTATCATGTGTAGTCTTTGTAAAAAATAAGTTCTCCCCACTTCAGCTTAGGTTGCACTTTTGACTCATTTCCAGAACTATCGGTACATCTTATTTGTAGCATAGAGTTTTTCCAAAAGTCTCAGAGATTCTCCTTGACCCATGCAAAATAATATTGCATGAATAATGGCATTGTTTATGCCATGAAACCTCTTAACTCAGTGAGACAGTACACTAGTTCAGTGGGAAGAGGGCACATCACATAGTCAGCACCCTGACTGGCCATGGCTGGGAAGAATTTCTTTCAGAAATGTCCTGTATTTTCTACATACCATCCTGGCTTTTTCTTTCTGTTTGTCCCGCAGCAAGAAAATATCAATATCTGCTGGGATTTTAAATGGGTTTTGTTCCAAGAGCAAGTCTGTGTCTTGACGAGAGCCTGAAAAAAAACAGAATATTAGGAAAGCAGTAGCTGAGGATTATTATGTCTTCCAAATATAATGAGGAAATTAAAATTAATAATAACTGGAATGTGTCCAACTGAGTAAAGAAGAACGAAAGAATGTTGGTGAACTTCATCACAAATGAAATACCACTTAAGCAAATATTATAGAAAATAAGTTCTTATGCCTCCAAGTGATTTTTTTTTTTTTTTTTGCTGTTCATATTTGACATACCATAACTTATTGGGAAGTACAACCCAGTGAAGGCATAATTGCAGATGAAAGCACAGCTTGATTGGTAATTTTTATAGATCTTTTGGAATCCTTGCAATATATCATACTGGAAAAGAGATTTGGGCAGAGTAGTGCTGTGTTCACACTTAAGTGGGATCCAAAGCACTTATTCCAAATAATTTCCAAAATGTGAACAGCCCTATATTTACCTTCATTTAAAATCAGGTCAATTTATGATTTACCACATGATAAATATTAGTTTTGCAAACAGCTGCTCACTGGCTATTTTTATCTCCTCTTCTTTCCTTTATCTCCCAATGTGACCACAAGAGCTACTGAAAAAGATTTTAAAGATATGGCAGGGACTGCAGAGGGAAAGGTTTTTTTGTTAATGAACACATATAATTGGATTTCAGAAACAAGAGAACATTGAACATTGAGGTATGTTGGCGCCATGTCATTTGAAATATTCTCTGATCCTGAAAGATCCTATTGTCAAGGAAGTTCAAAACACAAGAATGCAAGAATGGTAATTACCTTGTGTGATATGGGCAGCTATATAAATATGATAAATAAATAAATAAATAAATAAATAAATCTGCTTATAGCTGGTAAAATGGCAATGGCTTCCTCTGTTGTCTGATAGTTATAAAAAACTGATCTACTGTGCTCCAAATTGCTCAGTGATCTATTGATGACTGTTTGCAGAATGGGATTTGGGAGCTGACAGTAAACAATTAAAAAGTGTGACTTACCTGACTTGGTGTCTGGTCTAGAGCTGGACTTAGCAGAGGGTATTGTAAACACATCTCCTGTTTGCTGAGATAACAGCCGTGTCCCTGGTCCAATAAGGATCAAACTTCACTTAGTTATCCAGAAATAATTAAGTTATGTTATAGGAAAGGTTGCTAGGACTTAAGTGTCAGCATCATAGAACCTCTGATACTTCAGTGTTTGAAGACCAATCTGTATGGGATGCTTTAGGGGTGTATATGTATAACTGGGAATAAAATCACACTCATTAATACCAACCCCTTCCAACAGACTTAAGAAGATTAAGAAACAAGTCTTGCTGATAGTACAATCATGAGTAACACACACACACAGTGCTGTATGAACATAAATCTGCAATAAGCAACCTGGTGCCTATGAACATCACCATACCAACAGATACTTTTCTTGCCCACCTGCAAGAAGTATTCATTTCAGTCCAGGAGAAGTTTATGCCCCAGGTATTAAACACCAAAGAAACCAAGCATTAGTGAAGGGGGCTGCTAAGGAAAAACCTTTATGTATAATAAGGATATTTCTGCATTCTGTTTCAGGAGCTGCCCACTCCCTGTCATGAATTTTAAAACTGCCAAAAGGAGGAAGGGAGGGAGGATTAAAGTTCTAGGAAATAAAACAAAATGATCTTACTGTAAATTTCTTCAGAGGCCTCTGAGCCCACAGATACATTTGAAGGTGCAAATGAGATTCCAGACATCTTAACAAGAACAGCTTAACAAGAAGGGTGATAAATTCCCACTTGGTGAACAGACGCCTTGAGATGGAACACTGGATTTTGGCCTATGAGATGTGTACAAGGAATCCTTCGTTAAATGTGACTTTGTTCATTGTGAAGATCAGCTAAACCTTAATTATATAGAAACTAATTTACAACTGCCAACATTTGGGTCAGAAATCAAAATGGTAATGAAAAGGATTTTTGAGAAACCTAATAACTAGAATTATTTGAGACTGGAGCAAACACTTGCAAATGTTGGTGGTCTTTGACTCACTGGACATCCATTTTCTTCTTGAGAAGGAGGTTAGTTTGGATGATTTTTAATTTCCTTTCCAACATTAAAAGTCTACAATTTTATGACATGGAGAATGAAAAGGAATCGAGCAGGTGCAGTTTTTCCCAGCATAGAAAAGCATGAACTACTCCCAACCTTTGAGTCACTATTGCCATATCTTTTTAAATGTAAAGGGCTTTTATCACAGAATGGATGACATGTTCTTTTTTCTTTTTTAATCTAAAAAAGTTGGGAAACATGCACATAAAATAGGCATGAGGTCAAATAAAATGCTGCTAATCAGAACAAAAGGCTTGTAGAAATCATCATCATTTTAAATGACTTAATGGCATGCTTTAAAGGGGTCTGGAAAACTGTAGCTGGAAATTGTTTTCCAATTGTTAACATTCATTCAGCCATGACCTGTAATGGATGGAAGGATCACTATAACATTAATGGTTACCAATTCTGTTATGAGGCCCTTTCTCAATGTTGCAAACTATCAGTTGGTTCGCTTTGAAGCAATTATTTTCAAGAAAACCACTTCACATAATACATACTCATTTCAGTAGCTTCTAACAGATTAATCTGATGTACAATGGAGTTGGCAGCATGCCATCAACCTTATCTCAGCTTGGAAGATAAGCAGGGCTGGGTTAGTTTGCTACATGGAAGGTAAACCACAATGAAATTCTAAGGCTGTAGGCTAGACTGGGAAGTTGAGAAAAAGATCCTGAAAGAAAGTGATGGAAAACAGTTCTGTACTGATGCCTAGATAAGTGCATGGCTGTGACCACGAAGTCACCAAGAGTCAAGCTTGGTTCAAAGGCTTGACTTTAGTATAAGCATTCAGAAAAATCCTCCCTGTTTGATGAAATGTTCTTTGACGCTCTAGAGAAGGAGAAGCTAATGGAGGATAAGCAGTTTGGGTGGGTGTAAGGTA